GTCGATTTTGATGCTTTTAATAACATTGGTATAATATGTAGATTAACATGATATTTATTTAATTATTAAAATGATATTTTTAACTCATAGTATCAATAATTTGGTTATTCATAATGCGATTAAGGACTTAAATTATTGTAAATGACACGATATAATTCTGTGTAAGTTGATTTGCCTTTGAAATCCAAGAAGAAAAAGTTGATGCGACTAATTGAATCTTTTGCTTCGTCGATTGCTAATTTATCTGCATCACTTCCAAGGAATATTTGCAGTGGTAATCCAATTGAATCATCTAAGGAATCGAATGTGTTTTCTTGTGGCTTCCAGGAATTTTTTGTATCATTTTTCATGATTATGATGATATCAACTATACTTAATTATGATAACATCAGCGATGATTATATCATAATGTTATTTAATTAAACAATAGTAATATATACATAGTACTTTTAATTCTTGTTACGTTCCTCTTATTACTTTCATTTTGTAAGCGACATGTGGGCGAGTCTACGAGGTCAAAGCCTCTCTAACATCGTCGTCGCGACTTATCAATCTCAGGACTACACCAATAGGCACGTATGATGTATCATTACATGTATTTTACCTACTAAATTAGTTAAAAATAATCACTACCGGGTCAGTTATTTAATTTAACCCCATGGAATTGATGAAAAAATTTTTAATTGTTTTTTTAATTATTGTTATTAATCCTAAGATTGTTTTAATTTTATTGTCATCATATTTTTATGTAATTTCCTTTCATAAGTATAAAGTAAAAAAATGAAATAAAATAATTGCCTTTATTGTTGATAAAAATTTCTATTATTATATTTCTAATCGTAATATAATATTTTTTTCCTTTTAGTCATTATTGAGTCTTACTTAATTTGTTGTAACTCATAAAAATTATCTAAAAAACTGTCAAATGATTTTTTGTATAACAAAGTCAGTGTTTTACTTTCGTCTTTAATTGAATTACTCTTGTCTTTATCGGCTTACAAAAAAAAATTCGGTTTCATGAGCATAATAAAATGGGATGGCTATTAGTAATTGAATGACTGAACGGAAGAGATTACAGGAAATGTGAACCATGACTCGTCGGCCATGAATTGCCATGTTCGAACGGTATTCTATGACTCTGTACTTTCTGACTCACACTCTGCGTTGATAAAAACCCATTTGCGTTCTTTTTTTTTTTGCACTGCATTATCCTAACTTCGAGAGTAATGGTTATCTATTTTCTCACTAGATTTATACGCAAAAAATGTTCGATCTTTTTGGATCATAAAGATTTATCCTACTCTGAAGTAATAAAACTGAATTCTGGAAAAATTGCGAAAACACTAGTCTACAGAGTAATACTTTCTACCTATTTAGATTTATATAATCTTTGTTAAGTGATAAATTTAATTTTCTTGAAAAATAATCCAGACACAATAAATTGCCATGAAAGACACAATCATTTAAACAATGTTTGAGGAAAAAATTCTGGAAAATGTGTGTCAGAGTCAGATGTTGTTGTAAAAGAATTCGGAAAAATAAACTAAAGAAAAAGAAGATGAAAGAGGTACGGTTATAAATTTTTTAGCAAATACGGATGTGTGTTTATGGATCTTAAAAAACCGCTATCTTTTACTCAACTTTAAACTGGAAAGCCAGCAAAAAGGAAAATTATTGTTATAACTGTCATGGCTTTCACTCATTTCAATCTTCATTAAATTTATCCATCCGCGTCTTCATGCGTCATGCGATAATTTGATAGAGAATATAGCAGTCATTTTACTCAAAGTCGTCGTTAAAGTTAATTATTTTGAATCACTTTCTACTGATCTATATCTTCAACTACCACACATATCTTTTGCTAATTTTATTATTATTATTAATACTCGTTAACACGTTCTAAGATAATTAAAGAAAAAAAAATTCATTACCCATAAACAAAAAATACATAATTTAAAATTATTTATTGCGTAATTAACCTTCTATTTATTTAAAAGTAAATGGAATATAATTGTTTATTTTTGAGAAAAAAATGTCTTTTCTTAAAAAATCCTGACATAAATTTAGTAATTATATGCAATTAAATAACAGTAATATTAAATACTTGAATCATACTTGATGATTTTATCATTATTAACTACATTCTAATTAAAGCTATGCACATTAATTAAGAAAATCTTCTGTCAATGTTGTAAGATAAAAAATTTAATTTGATTATCTTCCGATTAATCTTCTACTGTTTCTAGTATAAATTTACTTCAAGTATAGATTTACCAATTATCAGAATTAATTAATAACATATTCCAAGTAATCGTACGATAAAAATAATATTTACCTAATGATAACAACCTTGAGTTATAATTTTGAATCATTATTAAGCCGATTGTTTTAAATACATCGATTATTTTTATTTATAGAAATTGGATTTAGGGTAATTTGTTACGAGAATTCATTTTTTTTGTGTACATCAGTCACACTTGAAGCTCCAGTTACCGCAATATCGTATATATCTTTTTTTTTAATTAATTAACTTTGTTATTTTTGATGCATAAAAAGGTCAGAACGAAAAGTTTAATATGTCAATTTATGCGAAAAAACTTTCAGAACTCTTTTTTATGTAAAAAAGCTATTTTTTTAATTTTATGCCATTTGTAAATAAATCAAAAGAATCTAAAAGCATCATTTTGGTGCATAAAATTTAGCATAAAAGTTAAATAAATATTTAAAAACTTGTTACAAAGATTAAATTTAACATTTAAAAAAAAAATCTCGGTGGATTATATTTTATTTTTCCGGTAGAAAATAAATATTTTATTTGTTCAAAATTTCCGTGGAAGTTAATTTATTTTTATCCTTACTTCCGTATGTTTTTATAAAAAAAATTTTATGCTTTTTGAAGTGTATGTCAATTTAAAATTTACTTTACAGTCGCAGCTGAATAAGGTGTATCTAATTTAGATGTCAACATCATGGAATAAAAAATTGAAGACATTAAAAATATTATACTGAATCATTTCTTTAAAAATAAAATAAACGTTGTAAATTAAATTCACAATAATTATTCCTAAGAGAAAAAAAGGAAGAACAAACTTTAATAAAGTTTATTACTTTAAAATTTTTATTGTTTATGAATCACAAAAAATAATCCCCAGAAAACTTTAATTCCGGTATGAGTAATGCAAAATGATTTCTGTGAAAAATGGATGCAATTTTGAAAACCGATGAATCCGCGAATGAATCCAATGATGTTTACTCTCGCGACTACTAATTACATTCGTCATCAGTAGATGTATGCCAGGTTTATATTAAAGGTGATGAAGTCTTATATACTAAGAGGATACGTCGCGCGATGACTCATGCAAAATGCAATGCATAAGATTACATAGACAAGAGATAATATGAATGAAAATTATGACGCAATAAATGGGAGTCTCTGACATCCGCGCGTCACTGCTTTAACCAGGTGGCACAAACGCACAGATATATACAACACTCTTATAAAGTAGTACCGCTTAAAAGTCACTGCTTGTGAATGGACCAAGAGTGTTAGTAAGCAACATACACGTGAATGAGATGATATGTGTAAAGTCAATACTCAAAGTTGCTCTTCTTACACACCCACGTGACTAATTATCAGAGATAGTCACCTTAATTAGATATCTATTAATAATTTTTTCGTAATTATCCTCTTATCAAAAATAATAAACTGTAAATTGCATCAACTGTACTATATTTTATCGAATAAAATGAAAATGGAATTTTTTTTATGTAAATAATGTGTATGATTATCTTTCGTGATGATTAAAAGAGAAAGATAAGATGAGAGAAAGGAAAGATAACGTGAAGTAATGATTAGTTGCAAGTAGAACATGACGTTAAATCTGTAAATCCGTACCTCCTACGCCTCATTTGTAACAGAGAACTTAAGACTAATGTGTATTCTATTATAATGCAACTGTATAGATCGTAAAGCATTGTTTCATTTGTGATTCATCGACTCTTATCCATGTATTCTCACTTACATTAGAACTTTCTAACGAGTAAATTCAAGAAAAATCGCGGATAAAAATTGTTGAGGTGTGTCGTTAAATTGGAAATTTTATTTTTTTCTCTACTACTATATCATTATCGTTATTAGTTAACTTTTTTTTCTTGAAAAAGTGTTGAGAAACAAATGTCAATGAATATTAATTAAAATTATTCCTAATTGTATATTAATGTGAAATCATTACACATCATGAAAAATTACTTAAATAATTTAACTATTTTATAATCATTGATAAAAATGAAACTAAAATTGTTGTCTATTAAATAAAAATTATATTTTTTTCTTATAATTAATTTAGTGTAATAATAAAATGAATTTTAATCAATTTATGACAAGATAGAGATTAATATTAATTTGTCGTAAAAGATTTATTAGAATTTCTTTCAGAATTTTTGATTATGTTAATAAGACCGGAAACATCTGATTAAAAATAAAAACAACTTTTTTTTTTAAATATTAAAAGCTTAGATTGACATTTATTTCTCATTTCCTCTTAAAAGTGAGAAAGTCATGCGATGAATGACTGAATATTTAATATTTCTGATCGAAACTTATATTTTTCAGTGTCAAATGAGACATTCCTTTGAAAGAGAAACGCAACTTCATGCTTTTAAAAAACTTTAATTGACCTACGAGTGTAATAAAAGTAAAAAAGATGTTCTCTAAAAATTTATAAACCAACGAACTTGATGAAAATTTGAAAAAATTATTAAATAGGTCAAAGTTTTTTTAACGAATGAACAAAAAGGATAAAAAAAAAATACTATGAGACTGTATCTTTTGATAAAAAATACAGTTTTTAACTTCATTATCTTATCCTTTTTATCATCGTAAAATTTTCTATTTTCTTTCTTTTAATGTATTAAATAAAATTCTACTTTGCGGATGCTTTTCTACATAACAATAGATCAAAGCATCTACTAGTATTTTCACGCGTAAAATTACGACTCACCCTCCCTTTATCTTGGTGGATGGCCGCACGTTCTTTGGATCTCCTACTCACCTGTAACAAAAACATTCAAAAATTAATGACTATTTTATTTTTTACATTGATTTATTCAAATAAAACTCTATTCATTAATTAATCTTCTCTCGTAAGGCCTTTCTGATGGATAAAACGAGCAAACGTTAATTAAAAATGGCTTAAAACAAAGACAAAAGAAATAACTGAGCTGACAGCATGAGTCATGTTATCTCATAAAGTTCAGGCTTTTGTGTTTTTTTTTTTTTTACTTCTTTGTCAAAAGTAATTATGTTATAAAATTTTCTACGTGATTCAGTGCACTAATGATAGGGATAATAAAAGACTATAAAATTGGTTTTTTCTATGAAAATATAACTAGTAATGAGATTTCGAATTTGAAACTGATCAAAGGTTTATTAGCTGCATGATAATGAAATATATAATGATTGAAGTAATAAAAATTGATAGTAGTTACTTTTTTATCTACTTAAACATTATTTATTCATACATTCATAACACTTGATACTAAAAAAACATTATCATAGTTCAACTTTTAAATTACAAATAAACACATAAAATAGAATATATATTATAATAATTCATTTTAACAAAAAAGAATTATTTTTTATTCAACAATCTCAGTATATTTTATTAATTTTTATTTAATTGTGACGAAAATGTGTTTTGTCACAATAATATTAGTTAAACAGTTCAAAATTATGATATATGTACTTTTTTTTAATTCTCTTTTTTGTTACAATTTATTTATTTTCATCTTATTAATATTAAATTCCATTAAAAGTTTAATAATTTTCAGAACCATTGTTATAAAATTTGTAAATAAAAATAAAAATTTCATTATCTCTGACCTCTCACACATCATAAATTGATAACATTTATTGAGAAAGTTTACGGAAAAGCATACTCCCGGCACTCACGATTTCTTATCAACATTGCACCCATCGAGGCCACAAGATAATAAAGAATCCAGCAGAAAACTTCCGAAACATTTTTATTTTTATTATCATTTGACAACAAACAATAGTAACAAGAGAAAAAAAGAAATATCCATTTTGAAGCATTTAAGGGATGTAAATATTAATGAGATTATGTAAAAATGAATGATGGGTCAAGCCAGGTCACGATTATCATTGTTTAGCTTAATTAAATATAGCATGATAATTAAGTGTTCGATAAGCACACCAAGATATACGTGATTATTCTCTGTAGAAATCTGTCACGACATCAATCTAGACCTTTGTGCTAACGAGAGGCTAGACATGCAAACGACGCAGCCAAGTGGACCCTGGATTAATCAGTCAATTATCGACTACGTCAATGCGCAATTCGTTGGGCGTTAATCAAGTGGATTAGGTGGCGCGAAGCACAACTGACTTGCAATCAATCTAATAGAAACATGTTTACAACTTTAGATTGCAGTTTTAATCTTATTAAGATACTACTAATACTACACTTTACAACTAAAGTTCACTCTTCTTAATTCTTGACTTTTTCCTGCTCACGTTTACGGTGAGGAAACCTACGTTAATATCATATTTATTTTCAGTAAACTATTTTTTTGTAAAGCAATCATTATAATAACAATTAAAATCATTTTTTTTTACCAATTAAAAATTTATTTTTCATAGAATTAAAATAATTAGAATGATTATTAAAGAAAATTGCAAGAAATCTTTATGTTTAATTATCTATACCTAAGTAAAAAGAAGTTTTTTTCTATAAAACTTCCTCAAATAAATTATTTTACACAACAAGATGATTTATTATTGTAAAAAATACATGAAGAAATAATTACGAAATTTATTTACGGTGGAGGAATGTATTTTTAAAAAAAAAGTTTGATGAAGTTATAAAAAATAAATAGTTTACTCCAAAACTCTGCTTTATTATAACTCCAGAACCTATGTAAATAATGAAATTCTGCATTCTAATCAACTTGATGTACTATTAATATTAAATCGCATTTACATTCTTGATTATTTATGTTGTTATCGTTAATGATTCATAAATTTTTAAGAGTTCATATGTCACCAAGTGAATAAATTTAACAAAATGATTCTATGTGCTCTAAAACATTAACTTCTTAGAAAATAGATTCAATTGTTTATAATTCTTCAACATAAATAGCAACTGTTAACTACAATTTTATTTATCAATCATTAAATTATTCAAATCATTCCCACTTTATTCTAACAATAACACCGACTTTTCCCAAAGTAAACAATGCGCTTTTCGAATCTTAAAACTTATTTCTCTTTTTTATCAACAATTTAAAGTATACTGCTAGAATGCTATCGTGCATGAATGTTCCTTAAAGCACCTCCACCGACGTAAAAAGTGCAACATGGGAATTTTTATGGATCAAAGAATTTGAAGAAAAATGGAAGTTTAATGTTTGCTGATGCTTTCATACACTTTTATGAAAAATAGGAGGCATAAAAATAGCAACAAAAAATTGATCAAATAAAAGGAAGTAAGATTATATACATATACATTAATGTTTATATCATTCAATAGAAATATTTTATTCTCTTCCTTATTAAAATAAAATAAAATATAATAATAATGATAATAATAATAAAATAATCTATAAGACTGCTAAAATGTATACATTAAAATGCAATTCTTTAAGCTATATAATAATAGTGATAGTAAGTGCGCAATAAAACGGAGTTAAGACGTCTTTATTCTTCTTTATTTCATGCAGATTGCGCGCAGGCGGTTGCACACGATTCAACTGTTATCATTAAAATTCCAAATGCGTTTCTAGTGTCATTTTATATAAATACAATCAATAATTAACATGAATATGGATTTTCTACATAAATAAAATGATACTTTTTGTTTTTGTATCTTTGAAGAAGCTCACCGAAGTGAATTTGACGGTGAAGGATTCAAAATACTTGACGAGAAACTTCATGGTGTTCGTAGACTTGAATTTTGACGCCACTTCACTCACAGAAGTTGATTCGACAACGAGGGATTTCCGCTGTTGATTATTATCATAATTATGTTATAAAATATTATTAAAGTTATCTTTTTGTTTTTAAGATAATTTCGGGAATTTTTTTTTACCAGGAAAAAATATAAAATTTTCTTCAAACAAAAACAATCATAACTTCAGAAAGAAGGTTAATCAAATATGTGTGAATAAATATTAATGGTACTTTAAATTAGATCAAAGATATTGGGTCGTTTATTTAAATACACTCGACCTTTCGAATCTCTTTTTAAAATTAAAAAAACCCCCAAAATCGAGCAAGGTCATAAAGATTTAAGCCAAGATCGTCTGGGATTAAATTAATTTCTTAAATGCAAGGCTGTTCCTTTGTTATTGTTGTTAAAAGAATATATTTATTTCGAAATTTTGATTGGAAAAAAATGATATTTATTTTTTCAAAATCAACAACGTAATCTCTTACACTATTTATCATGTTATAGGAAAGTTTATCTCTTTTATCAGGCATTTTTTTTGTTTATTTTTCGACAAAGTGACACACACACACACACAAAATACAGAAGTGAACTGAATATATAAATCCGGAAATAGATCACTTAAGTGTAACTCACGCACTGACCAAATTGATACTGAAATGTTAACTAGTATCTAACAAATGATTGTAATAAACAAAGTATTTGTTGATTATTTTGCGTGTGCACAATTTCATTACGCAAAAGATTGACTCGACAATCTTTTGTCCGAGGCGCGTTTAAGTGGTCGCGATACCTATTCAAGTCAGCCAACGACAGAATGTATAAGAGAGACCGATGATGTGCACGCATTCTCGTGTGTGCTACATTCCAAACTTACGCAATCTTCCACATTTATTTGCGGTGATTCTTCAGTTCAACACTGAGACAAGAAGTTCATCTTCCGCATCATTTTATTCTCCAGAACATTTTTTTTATATAGCAACTTACAAAGAATCAAAAGACTAGATAATTTTTTTTGTTGAAGATTTTTTCTCCACAGTGAAGTAAAAGGTGATTTTCTGAATAGTAATGCAGACATAAAAATTGAAAAGCCTTTCAAATGAACGTTAACTCCGTTCCAAAAAGATTAAATTTTTTAGTTCAAAAATTATGAGAGTAAAATGATTAAAAACTGAATTTTAAAATACCATCAAAATTTAAGAACAAATTATAGAAAAATTTTTGCTCTGAAAAAGAATGAAGCTCTTTGTTCCAGAAGGGCTTTAAAAGTTGAATTGAAGCTTTACAGAAATGTTTTCATTCTATTTAATTAGCCAGCGTGAATTCGAATGAATTTATGAATATTTCTTTCAATTAGAAAATAAAACTAATGCAAGAATTATTAGTATAAATTAATGAAATTCGTTCTAATTAGATAAAATAAAACATAGAAACAGTGTTTTTGTTTGGGTTGAGTGTTTCTAATTATACATAACAGTTTTATTCCACCACAAAGATAAAAAAAACTCCAATCGAGCTCTTTCCCATTTCATAATTGAATCTAAAGAGAATTACTGAAGAAGAATAATTAGAATAATCTTATAAGAGAAAATGAAAGATAAATAATACATCGTGGTTACAATTCAGAGTTCTAAATTAACTCGATAAATTCCTTTTAGTCCTTTATTTACAAAAAATTATTAATAAATAAATAACTTTACAGTAATTAAATTTTAAAATAAAATTCTACAAAATTGAACATTACAATTTGTTTGCTAATTAAATGAAAAATTAGTTGAATACATGTCGATATTTAAAAAGAATAAAAAAATATGATGCACAAAAGAGATAGAATACAATGTAAAAAGTTTGTAAATTAATTTCATTTAAATAAACTCCGAAGTATTTGTGGTTTCGATTCAATTCGATACTTTGCAGCAACCACAATAGTAATAAAAAGTACAAAGGCAGTTTCTTATTATTATCACTTTGTTATCGCTAAAATGTACAAATTGAATCTCAAGTAGATGTTGAAAGTGAAATAATTCTGAAGTGATATTAAATGGAATTTTTCCTCAAATGTTTGTTAATTAAAAGTGAGCAAA